CCCCCCCCCGCCGGTATCTGAAATCCTCATTTCCAGTTCCATCTCCAAGCGGCAGCGCCGCCCTAGTGTCCGCCTTGGTGAAATTGGAGACCAGCCTGCTCACGATCCCTCTCATCGCCGCTCCAAGTTCTCCAAACTTCTTGCTCCTTCCTCGGTTGCTGTAATAGCCAAACCCACAACTAAGTCCCGAGCCACCACCGTCACAACGAGGCGTGTCCGCACGAACTGGCCCTCTCGGCTCGATGATGGATTCGAAGCCCCCGCTGAGTTGAAGTCCAGCGGCGGGGAGGATTCTAGAGATGATGAATTCGTGGAAGAGTCCGAGAGCCCCTCCAATAGGAACGACCGTCGGGCTTCTGCTAGGGTTAGGGTTTCTGACGGAGGGGACGAGCCCTCGGAAGAGGGTTTTAAAGGTTGGGCCGGCGGTGTTCGGCCGTGGCTCGAGGGGATAGGGCTTGGGCGGTACGCGCCGGTTTACGAGATACACGAGGTGGACGATGAGGTGCTACCGCTGCTGACGCTGGAGGATCTCAAAGACATGGGTATCAATGCAGTCGGCTCAAGAAGGAAGATGTACTGCGCTATCCAGAAACTCAGAAAAGGCAGGGACTTATAAGAAATGATTTCTTGAAGGAGAAAATGAAGAGCTGCACCGCCTTGGTTCGTTTGATGCTCTCGAACTGTTAATGTTTGATTTCGAACGTTTTCCCACCAAGTGGTCTCCTCACATCTAAATGTAGCTTGGATAACGTTTATTAGATTAAGAGCATATCAAATATAGTTGTGATGTTGTGGGAGTCATGTAGCTTGCTATGTCTAGCTTAATTATCAATGTCTATCTTGTTATTTTCAAGTTTGTCGTTTTACTTGAAATATATCTTACCTCTCTCTTTCTCAGTTATAAGCAATCATATCCACTTTAAGCCACATCTTTGCTGCAATGGTTCAACTGTTCCATAATTGATTGCTTATGAAGGGGCTTTGGATACCTAGGAATTTATGTTTTCATTTCTCAATGTTATTTCAAGCTTCCTACCAAGAATATTATTCTTTTATTTATAGATTATTCCCTTAGCTGGTGTTTGGCTGTGACCTGGATTTAATTTAAATAGGATTAGTAACTTCTGTAAATCAGGATATATCAAATCCATGTGCTGTAAATCCAAAATAATGTTAAATCCCTTTGACGTATTTGGCATGTTATCTCAGGATTTAACAACAATTGATTTTCAAAAAAATTAAATATGAAATACAAGGCACACACCATAATAATTTTTAAAATACTATAAAATTCGATGTGATATGATTTGTTCAAAAGTTAAAAATAACTTTTAAAAGAATATATAATGAATAAAAATTAAATGTTGAAAGAACCTAAAATCTACCTTATCTTCTCTCCCTTTTGGATCCTCAACCATCTTATAACATAGTTTCCTTAAGGTTTGCTCCCTAAAATCTACTTCAACTTCCCTCCCTTTCTTCTCCAGTGGAAACTCCCCACGCAAAGTCCCCATACTGATTGCTTTCATTCCATTGGCTTCTCCTTCGTACCTTTCCCGCTTTTCCTTCTCATGGTGAGATTGCCTTCATAAATGACCTAGAAAAGCTTTCTCCGATGGTGAAAGAAAAAAAAAAAATTTAGGATGTGTAGAAAAAGTGAAATTGTGATGATGTCAGATTCATAAGAAAAGGAACAATCCGTTTGAAGTCGATGACCGACAGTGAGGTGATCACATTGAATTCCTCTTTTTAGGGCATTATGCGACCATGAAAGCAACGAAAAAGTGGTGCATGTGTGTTTTTATTCCTAAGCTATATCAGTTAAATCCACCTACACGTCAGATTTAATAAATCCAGATTTACTTAAAAAAATATAGAGAAAAATTGGATTTTTTGGAGTGCTAGATTTAACTTTCCTTTTTTTATGTTTAGTTGGATTTATGTTAAATCCAATCATTAATCCTATTAAAAGTATGCTACTAAACACCCGCTTAATGTGAAAGATGGCTAATAACATCTCAGAAGGTATTTAATTTATATTTTGTATGGTATAAGTTTGATTGCAAATTTTAAACCATTGCTCAAGTATATAGAAAGCATTATTAACGTTCTTATAATGAACAACCGTGACCATCCAAAAGAGTTCAATGTTATTTGAATGCATCCGCCATAAAGCTTCAGAGTGATCATGAGTATTGACATGTAGTTTTGTTTGGCTCTTTAACATAATTAAATATCTATGGCTTCGTCCATATTTTTCTCTTAATGCCTTTTTCCTTTCTGAATTCCAGATGCTTGAAGAGGCCTAAGGTTTGGATATTCTACCACCTTGAAAATCAGGCTTTTTAGAATAGTGGAACAATTTTTTTTTCTAGCAGCCAACCACTGGGCTTTTGCATTCTGCATAGTTGTGTTGTGTGGTTTCAATCTTTCTTGCTGAAAGTTCAAACTGTCGGAAACTTCCACTTTAATTTCACAAGTATGTATATTAAAATGTATAAAAGGCCTAATTTTTCTTCTACCTCAACACTCAATGTTCCAATGTTCATTTTCACACTGTTGATTTTTTGTCAATCATTTCTTTAGATGCCGAGTTCTCCTATAGCTCGCCAAATCTTTTAATTCTTGAAGAAGGTAGAATCATTTGTTTACTTTTTAGAAGAATTATTAGGAATAATATTTTTCAAAAGTTTGAGCCATGATTTTTTGTTTAAGGGGTTTCAAGTGGGTTATCAAAAATCAAATGCGACAACTATTCTTCTTCAGACTACCCCTTATCCATAAATTGTAGATCTCTCCATGCCTCATGCATTTCATATATCTTAAAATGGCTTTTAGTTTCATAGAAATCATAGGCAAAGATTCTTGAATGGATTTCTTACAAATATTTGAGCTTGTGATTTTATATTTTATTTTAAGATTTGTATCCCTACTCCATTGTTTTCGAAACCACTTGATCTAATGCCCTAAAACCTATAACTAACTTTATATGGTTTGGCTGTTCATTTTGTTGACATTGTTTGAAGTGCAGTTAGCGTAAAACTTGTTGAAAAAAATCATGACATGAATCCTTTTGATCATTCTGTCACTAAATAGGATGCAATGGAGAAAAAAGTTTCATGTTGCCGACCCCACGTAGTGGGATTAAGGCTTTGTTGTTGTTGTTGCTGTTGTTGTTTGAAGTGCAGTTAGCAATTTCTCTCATTCATTATGATCTATATCAATTATCAATATGCATAAATACATGTTTTTGTTTTCTTTAGGGGGTAGGATACTAGATGCATTTGGTAATTTCATTAATTATTTGTTTATGTGGTTTTATTTTATATTAGGGAAAACAATACTAATTTTTGTCAAGATTGAAATGCTTAATTTAAGTGTGTAGGTAGATTTAGGCCTCTTCTGGGGCAGCTTTTTTGCTGCGGTGGCGTTTTGAAATGCCAGTATTGTGTTTGTTTCGCACGTTTCACCTGCTTATCGTAAAACATTGATCAAAATTTTTAATAAACGCGGCTACGGGCCAGCCCCCGTGGCTCGCGTATCTATGTCGCGATTTTACCTGTTCGCCTGATAGAACCGTTGCCTTTGTGACCGAAACCTCGCGATAAAGGCGCGATTAGAGATAGAACGAAGGAATCGCGGCGTATAAGAGCCTCCGAAACTCTCATCTTTCTCCTCATCCCTCTCCACTTTTACTCAAAACCACTGTGGAAGGTAACCTTTGTATGTCTTCCCGTTTCCCGCCCTCCTTCGTGCTCTTCAGCTCCTCTAAATACCATTAATCAAGTTTTTGCCCACCTTCGCTCCTTTCAAGCTCCTCCTTCATGCTTGTCTTCCATCTGAGTTGTTCTTGCAGGTAATCAGAGCAAGCATTGATGATCTTATCCATGACTGGTCCAACAAGCCAATCTACCATGTCGGCGATCGAGGTAGGAGGAGAGACGACGGAAGAGAAGATAGTCAGTCAACAGAAAGATTAGGGCTGAATGGTGGGCTATGGTTAGGAGTTAGGACGATGTAATTAATTTAAAATGATGATATATTTTTATGTGAAATGAAGGTTTGGGAGGTATAAATTTAAAATTAATTTTTAGGCGCTAGATATGTAAATGCATAATACTTAGGTGGTATGTATGTGAATGTCCCTTAAAGTATTAGTTGAATAGAAATAGAATAATTTATTTAGAATATTTATTAATATATATTTTATTCATTTTCCTGTAATTAAATTGGCTAAACTATTAGATTGATTTTTTTAAACTTCAATTCAACCACAATTTATCAAATTTAATGTAAAAATAAATATTGGGTGGGGCGTGTTGAGAATAGCTTCATAGTTCAGTTGCAAACAACATTACTGCGCAGGGACAAAATGATCATTTAATCATAAACAACTACAAAACAACTGTTTTTCAACTGCACAAATTAAACAGCCAACCAGCTTATCCGGACCAGCTGCTGATCAGCAACTTATATAGATCAGTTGCTTATGAGCATATTTTGGATAAGCTGCAGCAGCCCCAAACAGACCGTTAATGGTACTAAGCATTCTACTTCTCCAACTTTCAGTATAGGCATGCATGGTATGAAATAATGAAAAAAAATGCTTCTTTTTTACCTATCCTTAATGGCTTGAATATTTGGTCAATCCTCCTTCTGTTCGGTAGCAACTATAGTATGTATATCTTTAATGACTTGAATATAAGTCGTAGCAACATATTTCTTCTCTAGAACTGTCCAAAGTATATCTCGTGGAATCTTATCTTAAACTTTTTCTAAATAAATTAAAATCATATGTAAAACCTCTTTATGCTCTCTGTACTTCTTCATCAGACCTCTCAATAAATGTATAGCTTCCATGGTAGATCTGCCCGACATAAATCCAGGTTGATTATGAGAAATCTTTGTAATACGTCTTAACCTACGTTCAATTACCCTCTCCCATAATTTTAAAGTATGACAAAAGTATGACACATCATTATGACACATCATCTTAATTCCTCTATAATTGGCACACTCTTGTGCATCCCCTTTATTCTTAAAAATGGGGACCAAATTACTCTTCCTCCCTCCACTCCTCCAGCATTTTTTTGGTTTTTAAAATAATATAGTAAGCCAAGAAACTCCCAAATCTCTTATATATTTCCAAACTTCAATTGAGATATCATAAGGTCCTACAGACTTTCCACCCTTGGTTATTTTTAAAGTTTCCTCAACTTTTTTTTACTAATGCGACGGTAAAAATGAAATATTTTATTATTATTAACGTATTAAGATTACTAAAGTCGATCGAATTTTCCGAAATTTCATTAAAAAGTTTGTCAAAATAACTCACATACCTATTTTGAATATCTTTTTTAAGAAAAAACACTTTTTGATTTTCGTCTTTAATACACTTTACTTGAGTTAAATCTTTACTTTTCTTCTCTTTGTTTGGATAGTTTATACATATATTTTTCACTCTCCTTAGTATCTAATATATTATAAAGATCACTAAAAACAAAATTTTTAGCGTCACAGATTATTTTCTTAGACTCCCTACAGGCCATTTGATATTTTTCCCAGTCCTCTAAACTTTTTTATTTAAACAAATTTTTATAACATACCTTCTTTTATTTTATCTTTTCTTGCACATTATTATTTCATCACCAACTATTTTTATTTATAAAAATTCTTTCTTTTGATTCTCTAAATACAACTTTTGTCACTTGTTTAATAGTTTTGTTACTTTATCCCATATAAAATTTGCTTCTTCATGAACATGTCAAATTTTGAAATATTGAATTTTACTTATAAAAATAAATTTATTTGTATATTTTAGATACCCCCACCAATTCTACGATGATTATTTCAAGTATTCTTTATTTTACAATTCTTCCACTTAAAATGTAGAACTGATAATCGATGTTGAGTACTTAAATTCTCACTTGGAATGACCTTACAGTTTTTACATTCTCGACGATCTTTTCTTCTCATAAGAAAATAATAAATTTGTGTT